TTTTTTTTTTTTTTTTTTTTTGTGATTCAATATCAATTGTTGAAGAGGAGAACGACATTGATTATAGAGAAAATGAGTGTCATCAAGTGATTGAAATTGAAAAAATTAAGCATTTAAAATGTCATCGGTAGGGTTTTATTGTTCGGTTACAATTTTATTTCCTAAATTAGGTTGTTAGAATGTTATAATTTTAGTGTTTTTAAAAATAGGGTTAGGTTGTTGTAAGTATATAAAAATGTGAATAGCAAACAAAATAAAAGTTCCCTTTGATTTAGGAGAAATAGAATTTGAATTGAAGGTGCCTATTCTCTCATTCATATTCATAACCTTTAAATAAAATACAAATTAGGGATTAATACCTATAAATACAAATTAAGGACTAATACCTATAAATACAAGCTAAGAATTAATACATACAAATACAAACTATTGACTAATATCTACAAATAATACCTATAAATATTATAATAGACTAATACCTAAAAAAAAATATTAAGAATAAAATTTTCCTACAAATAAGGAAATATTGAGATTAAAATAAAATATAAAAAAAAAATATTAAGAATAAAATTTTTCTATTATTGAGAACAAAATAAAATATAAAAGAGCGATATATTGGAAGACTAATATATTATTTAAATATTATATTTAATAATATTTAACCAGAAAAAGAATATTGAGATTTTCATAGACGGTTCATTTAAAAGTAATTGAAAAGGCGAAAATGGGAAAGGGACAAGTTGATGAGAGGGACAGGCCTCGGAAAACGTTTGCAGACTCCAATAATAACATTTAACATTTAACATTTAACACACAACTTTTTCTTATTTTATTTATTTATTTTTTATGACATGACAATTAAACCAAATTTTGGCCGGTAATACTTTACCAACTTGGCAATGGAAATATTATTTTAAATCAGTCCAAATAAGACTTCAGCAGCAGATTTGGAGCTACGTGGCAATTTTTAATTGGTCATGGTGCTATACGAGGTGTATCGACGACGACAACTCCAAAAAAAATGGCCCTCTGCCTCTGTTCTTCTTCCTCTTCCCTCCCCGTTTTGGACTTCATTGACGGGGAAACTATGAACACTTGGGGCTTGACTTGGCTTGACTTGACTTAACACGCACTCAAATTAATGGGGCATGGGTATGAGTGGGAAGAAATTTTGGTGCAAAATTTCCAATGCTACTGTTTATATTAAGTGGATTGGAGAAACGTTTCCTCCACGGGAGAAAAATGAAAATCATTTTGACTTTAAATACACATTGCTAATCAACCAAAACAATCTACAACAAAAATGGAACCACCCTCAATCCGCCATACCCTTACCTCCTCTGTACTCTTCTCCTTCTTCATCTTCCTCTTCCATCACTCTGCCGCTCAACCCCCCGACGCCGATGGCTACACCTGCTCCACCAATCACACTGCCGACCCATGTCAGGCCTACGTCTTCTACCGCGCCGCCGCCCCCGGTTTTCTCAACTTGGCTACCATTGCTGACCTCTTCTGGGTTAGCCGCCTCCAAATTTCCCGCCCAAGCAATATCTCTGACTCCAACGCCACTTTCCCTCTCCTCTCCGGCCAGCCACTCTTCATTCCTATCAACTGCTTTTGCAAGTCCCTCAATGCTTCTGTCAGCATCTCTTATGCTAATCTCTCCTACAAAATCAACCACGGCGATAACTTCTGGCAAGTCTCCACCTTTAAGTTTCAGAATCTTACCACTTACCAATCTGTCGAAGTCGTCAATCCCACTCTCGTCGCGGTCGATCTCCCCATCGGTATCGACGTCGTTTTCCCCATCTTTTGCAAGTGTCCTACTCACACCCAATCCCAAAATCGTGTTAGTTTCATGGTCTCTTACGTGATTCAGCCCACCGATACTCTGCCTTCGATAGCTTCGAGATTTGGGGTAGAGACGTTGGATATCACAGACGCGAATCGGCCCAACCCGGAGCCGTTCGAGACGATTTTCATCCCGGTGAGTCGTCTGCCCAATTTGACGCAGCCCATTGTGGTGTCGCCGTCTCCAGAGCAGGCCCTGGTCCCAGTGGTGGAGGGGAAAAACAGAGCAGTGACAGGGCTGGCCATTGGGATTGGGATTGTGGGGTTTCTGCTGATCGTGGTGGTGGGTTTGTGGGTTTGTGGAGTGGGTAAGAGGAGGAGTAAGGAAAGGGAAATGGAGGAGGGAGTTGAGAAACAGAGAGTGCAGGACATTGGGGTTTGGATGAGGAAGGAGAAAGGGAAGCAAATAGAGGTGGATTTAATGGCGGATGTGTCGGATTGTTTGGATAAATACAGAGTGTTCAAAATTGAGGAGCTGAATGAGGCGACAGATGGGTTCAGCGAGAGTAGCTTGATTCAAGGTTCGGTTTATAAGGGGAGCATCGGCGGAGTTGAGTACGCTATCAAGAAGATGAAGTGGAATGCCTATGAACAGCTCAAGATCTTGCAGAAGGTAACATTAGTAACATTATCACCATTTCAGACGTGAAAAAGTGGACCCTTAAGCTAATGGTTTGAATTTGGTTATTTTGATTGAAGATAAACCATGGTAATCTAGTGAAGCTCGAAGGGTTTTGCATCGACCCTGAAGATGCAACCTGCTACCTAATTTATGAACATGTAGAGAATGGTTCTCTTTATTCATGGCTACACGGGAGCCAAAGGCAGAAGCTGAACTGGAGAACGAGATTGAGGATTGCCATTGATGTCGCTAACGGGCTACTTTACATCCACGAGCACACGAGGCCGCAAGTCGTGCACAAAGACATAAAAAGCAGCAACATTCTGTTGGATGCAAGCATGAGGGCTAAGATAGCCAACTTTGGGCTGGCAAAGTCGGGGTACAATGCCATAACCATGCACATTGTTGGAACTCAAGGCTATATAGCACCCGAATACATAGCGGATGGAGTGGTGTCGACAAAGATGGACATCTTCTCGTTCGGAGTTATTCTGCTCGAGCTGATCTCCGGGAGGGAGGCCATTGACGACGAAGGAGGGGTTCTATGGATGAGAGCGAGTACTGGATTTTCGGAAGGAAAGGAGAAGTTGGACAGGTTGAGGAGTTGGGTTGATGAAGCACTTTTCGAGCAATCGTGTCCAATGGAGAGTGTGATGGATGTGATGAATGTGGCTGTTAGTTGCTTGCAGAAGGACCCTATGAAGAGGCCGAGCATGGTCGAGGTGGTTTATGCGCTAAGCAAGAGCGACGATGCTGTGTTCGAGTTCTCTGATGATACTTTATCGGATCCTCCCTTAGCTGCTAGGTAGCCAAAGCCGTTGCTTACTATACAAAGGGACAAGCATATGCAATATACACAATATTAGAAGCTTTAAGAGTACAAGTGTTTTTTATCTGCCTCCCTTGAATGAAGGCAGTTTGAGAGTGGGATAAGATAGATGGCATGTAGACTTCACCTCTCTGCTAGAAACTGAATTTGGATAAAGGAGTGACACCAAAATCATCCGGCTTAATTAGCGGCAATAAAATGGCTAAAGCACCACAACTTTAGAACCATTAGAATAGCTCGTCTTCATGCCGATTCTTGACACAATCACTACTAATTTCCATAACAACAACCAATATTGATGAGATAAATCCACCAACACGAACCGTAGTTGCAGATACATGAAGAAGAATCAATCACCTTGGCTAATTAAAAAGAACGATCAAAGTTTATTAGGAAGCCCAAAAACAATGAGACAATATCATACAATTGTGAAAAAGTTGTTATTCATATCATGGGTTACAGCCACGTGATAGTGTTGATGCCACAATTGCTAACCAATAGCCATAATGGATTAGTGGCGATTGAACCTCTCGATGACCCTTTTTCCTAAATGCTTCAAAAGAAAAGAACACGTATGAGCTAAACTCACTGCCTCGGATTGGGTATGTCTGAGAGGAATAAATATTGTTCTCACCCAGGAGGGAACAACCTAGGATCCACAAATCACCTGACCCTACATTCAAAATTAAATTTAACCATAAACTTTCTTTTTGGATGGATAAATTTAATTTGGTTAAAAAGAACCAAAAACAAAAAGACAAAAAACGTACGGTAAAGCAGCGATCATATTCTCTAAATTTAATATAGCGAATCCATCGGCCATTTTCCATTTTCCTGTCTTCAGTCGTCCGTCTTCCTCCCTTCCTTCAATTCCACCCTTCTCCAACACCATTCTTCCATTACAAACAATTGCACAAGAGCCTGATGTCTCTGAGTCAACGTCAATGCTCGTACTTACGCCTTTCGCCGTCGCAACTGCCTCGATTCCGTCGGAGATTTTCGTTTTCGACTTCCAGGTACTTTCTATCCTATTTTTGCTTCTCTTCTTCTCTCCATTCTAACTTCCTTCACCGTGACCTATCTCTGACTAACATGAACGCCATTCCACTTAATCGCTCGACTTTCCCGCGTAATTTGTGTACCGGTCGAACTGCTACCATTTTACTACCGATTGAAATTTAGTGTGTATTGGAAACTCCGCCCGACCTGTGATCATATAATCTTGGAGTGTAGAAGATGTGTTTGTCAAAAGTATTCTAATGGAGACTTTCTTTTCCTTTCTGTTTAATTTATTGCGTGATTATTTCTGTTTAACAGTTTCGCATCATTTTCCAACAGAACCTTGCCTTCTCACTTTTCGTGGACCGACCATTCCAATTTTAATGCTTGTCCTCTCGTGGT